CTGGTTTGCTCTCGAACTTTAAGTTATTTAAAAAGGAACTAAAGAACATAAATGCTGCTTGACAGTTTTGTGGGCCTATTTAAAGCAGCTTAAATGTGCAAGTTTTTTATTCTAAAGGTTTACTGTTGGCCAGTCCACCACACACCTACAGGTAGCCATTGAAGCGGCTGGAAGATCAGCTAAGCTGTTAACTGAACTGAACCCCCATAAAAACACTCGAAACCATCCATCCATCCATCCATGCATCCATCTTCTTCCAGTAATCCGGGGCGGGTCGTGGGGGCAATCTGCCGCATGGCCTCCTCATGGTGGGACATGCCCGGAACACCTCACCCACGAGGCGCCAGGTGGCATCCTTATCACATGTCCGAACCACCTCGACTGGCTCCTTTCGATATGTAGAAGCAGCAGCTCTACTCTGAGCCCCTCAAAGATGGCTGGACTTCTCAGCCCATCTCTAAGGGAGAGGCCAGCCACCCTTCGTAAGAAGCCCATCCATCACTCGTATCAGCAATCTCGTCCTTTCGGTCACTATCAACAGCTCGTGACCATAGGTGAGGGTAGAGACGTCGATCGACTGGTAAAATGAGAGCTTCGCTTTTAAACTCAGCTCTCTTCAACACAACGGACCGGTACAGCGTCCACATCACTGCAGCCGCAGCACCAATCCATCTGTCGATCTTCCGCTCCCTTCTCTTGTCACTTGTAAACGAGATCCAGAGATGTTCTCAGTCGAAAACAATCCGCACTATACACAGTGCAGGTAGGCCACCACTTTCCCCTCCTGAGTCACCTGACGGTGTGCTAGAATCTCTTTTTAGTCTTTTTCCATGGCCTCTCCAAACTCCTACCACACCTGACTTTTTGCTTCAGCCACTCCCCAAGCCATGTTCCGCTTGGTCTGTCGTACATATCAACTGCCTCCGAAGTCCCACAAGCTAAACAAGCCAGATTGGCCTCCTCCTTCAGCTTTGTGGATCCCTTCACCTCTGGTGCCCAACATTTGGTTTGGCAATGGAGGTGCTGAACATGGTCCAATCGGCCTCAATGTCACCATTCTCCCTCAGAATGCCCTTGAAGCTCTGCCGGAGGTATGCGTAGACAATCTCACAAACCTATGGCCTCTGCCAGGTGTTCCTAGCACAAATTCACTATACGTTTGGGTGCGCCAGGTGTGTCCAGCATTCTCCCCCGCCACCTGAACCAACTCACCACCCGGTGGTGATCAGTTGACAACTCAGCCCCTCTCTTTACCCAAGTGTCCAGAACAAATGGCCGCAGGTCTGGTGATACGATTATAAAATCGATCACTGACTTGCAGACTAGGGTGTCCTGGTGTCACGTGCATGTATGGACATACTTATGTTCAAACAGGTCTCATTAACGTTGCCCACATGAGCGTTGAAGTCTCCCAGTAGGACAACAGAGTTCCCAGGTGGATCACCCTCAAGCACCCCACCGAGGGACTCCAAGAAGGCTGGGTAGTCTGAACCGTCAGTCGGCACATAAGAGCAGACAACAGTCAGAACCTGTTCACTCACCCGAAGGCGCAGGGAAGAAACCCGCTCGTCTACTGGGAGAAACCCCAAAGTGCAGGCAGCAAGCCGAGGGGATCCTAGGATACCCACCGCGGCATGGACACCATGGGAGACCCTACCAGGGGAAAAAGTATCGATTTGCAGGAGGGGACACTCCAAACTATCCTCCAAAAGTCTGCAATATTTTCCCAAAATGTGTTATTTGCATTTGCAGTCATTGATATCTAAGAAATAAGGCAGTAGTCGGACTTCAGGAAATAACAGAGCAGATGAAAGCAGGAAGAACAGAAAAAGGAAGAGCAGGGATGGAGGTGAATTTTAAAGCACTCTGCAGTTCTGTAGCAACTGTGGTAAATGGCCTGTATTTGTATAGCGCCTTACTAGTCCCTAAGGACCCCAAAGCGCTTTACACATCCAGTCATCCACCCATTCACACACTGGTGATG